GAAATGAAACCCTGCCTGCATACACTTTTTTAAAAAAAAAAAATCATGGGCAACAACATTATGCTTCTTGGGTCAAATGTGTGAAACTATTTCTCAAAGAAGCTGCATACATAATTGAGGCCCAATGACAGGTTCTCAGTGGAAGTTGCCAGGCTACACTCATTTCAAAAGCAGGCCCATTTGTTATCAAATTTAAATTAACTCTTTCCACACTGAAGGCACAGATTTTGAAGACAGCAGTTTAAAACACAGAGCAAAAGAAAAATTATGCATATTAAAAAAATGCCTTTGTAGCCGAATAACTTGCAATGCATTAAACAAAGATTTTTAAAAATTTTGTAAAAATATTGATTTGGAGTAGCATATTTTTGATACCAAATTAGACATATCAAATTGTAATACCACTTTCATTTAAATATAAAGAGTATGATTAATATTTTAGATGTCACCAAATATAAGTTCTGAAGTGATATCTGATTGTTCATACATTGAATGTGTCAAAGATAAATATATAATCAGATAGAGATCTTTCCATATAGTTTAGAATTTAAATAGTTCCTGTGTTTATATACATAGTACTTCCATCCACTCCCTATTTTATAGTAATCCTTTATATACTATTGTTGAGGATACCCAGTCTTCTAGGATAGGTTTTCAGAAACTAAGGAATGCAAAGAGAAAATGAAAAAAGAAATCTCTATGTCAGGAATTCCTGCGGAAGAAAAATGCAAATAACTCCCTTATGAACACAGAGGTGTAATTAGGCTGCTTTTATGCATTCTAGTAAACTTTAAGGGATAAAAGAGTGATAACTGATTTTAGTGAGAAGGAAATAAGTTATAATATCTGTTTTTATTTATATAAATGTTCATAGAAGTGTAATGATTTCAGAAATAGCACATCACACTCGCCTGTCATATCATCAGTACCCAGAAACCAAAATCAAGAATTAGTCCAGATTTTCATTTTTATTTTTTTTTTAGAGTTAGTTATTAGAGATTTTGAGGGTTGCTTTTTAAACTATGCTAAACCTATTCTAGTACTTACATATTTTTAGTATGTTATTTACCTCAAAAATTTTGGAAACCTCACCACAACGTAAGCCTTTGGGGATTGCAGAAAAGACATTTTTGGAAGCCTCAAGTAACCTATTTTTCTTTTAAAGCTCAGTTATAAACTTGAGCCTTGAGTTATTTTTATAAAAATGATAAAGGAGGCATACAAATAAAAACAAACAAACACAAAAATAGAACTTGGATGTTTTAATCTCTGCCACCAGGTTCTTACTTGAGCAATCCCACAAATGTTTCAATATATTTTAAAAGGCTACAAGAAATTTTAGGAGACACTCAGCTCATGGAAACAAGAATTAACCAGGAAAGGTCATCAACATGGTTGAGAAAGACTTGTGGCAACAAACACCTTTTCTTAAATCCATACTCCAATTAGAAGTCAACTTCAGACTTGAAATAGGCATAGATGTGTACCTAAATTAAATTTAAAGCATAAATAGTGAACCATGCTTCTTTAAAGTTCCATTTCAAAAGTCTGGATAACAGATAGCCCTAACTTAAACATCTTAAATTTAGAAATAAATCCACTTCAGTTTCAGTAAATTTTACATTGTAGGGAAATTTCAATTTTACTACGAATGTTCTTTGGGAAGTGATTATTATGGAATATGCAAAATAATGTATTAAATAAGCTAAACACAAGCCTGAATACATAGACAAAGTTCCAGGGTATATATTTCATGTAACTGTACATAGGACTTTAGACATACAGCAGAGCCTAGGTCAGCATTGAATTCCATATGAAATCAGGAACATGGTTGCCACTGAATGTGGTTGATACTGGATATGAGCAGCAGAATTAAAATTTTAGTCTTCTGCAGATATACACACTCATACACTCCATTGCAAATTCAGTCCAAATTGAACAATTGTTATTTGCTTAAGAACAAAGCTGATACTGATTTATTAGTAAGATGCTGTACAAATCATCAGGTCTATCTGGATTACAATTCTTTAAAAATACTTAAAAGTTACATTAACTATAAAACTGCCTGATTCAACTCAAAGTGATCTTTTGTGCCTTTCATGACTACAATTTTTAAAGGGTACAACTTTTCTACTTTTTAATAGATGAAATTTGAAAGCACAGTAAATTTTTAGAAGGGATGAAACCTAGCAAATATCAAACAGATGTGAGAGAAGTGGAAGGTCAATGACAGGCTGCTTTAAATTATTGTAAATGTTGATACTATAATCAAATAACAATATATATTATTACAGTTATTACAGTTTAATTATTACATTTTATTATTATCATTATTACTTTTATAAGCCAAAGCACACTTTCTGTAATCTACATTTAAATTATCAATTTATTGAAGAAAAAGAAAAAGGATTTGAGGGAAATATTGGAAACAGAGAACAAATATTAGAAGGTATACTTATTTGATTAGAAATAATAACAAAAGGCCACATATTATTTGGATCCTCACAATGCTATGTAGATTCATAATGAATCCTAGATTCTTTAGAAGAACTTATTGTGAATTAAGACCAATCCCAACTAAAGAACTGTTATTTCATATTATTGTATGTATAAAAATAATACCATTACAATAATTTATTAAATTTATATACTACCCAACTCTCATTGACTCTGGGCAATTGACAATTATTAAAAGCATTTAAGAACCAACAAAAATAACATCACAAGACAAAAGAAAAAAAAGAAAACAAACCCAAAGGGAAACAAAAAGGAAAAAAGGATGTAACAGTACAATATATAGCACACATACGCAACAATATTAATAAGAAAAATTGAATCAATAATTTTATACAAAACAATCTCCATTTGATGTCAGTTTCAATCATTGCTTGAAGGCCTTACAAAGCAATGATTCTTTGGAAGTCCATAAAAGTGGGGACTACTGTTGCTCTGTGGGGCAAGGGAAAGAGACCATCAGCTGGCATTCCCCCTTTGCTCAGATTGGGCTTTGAGAAGCTCACAATCAGGTTTTAAATATTTGAAAACTTTGCTTGTAAACCTTTGCATCTAACTGATGGATTGAAAAATATACTATTACTTGGTAGGAATTAGTATATCTGTGCTACAAAAATTTAGATGATAGCAAAGAAATACACATTTTATTATTGATTTATATAATTTATTTATCCTACCTTTATTGTTTTTACAAATAACTCTAGGTGGCATACATATCCAACATGCCTTCCTCTTCCTATTTTCCCTATAACAAACCTGTGAGGTGAATTGGGGTGAGAGAGTGTAACTGGCCAAGGTCATCCTGTTGGCTTTTATGGTTAAGGCAGGATTAGAATTCATAGTCTCCTGGTTTGTGGCCTGATGCCTTAACTACTAGAGCAGGGGTGCTGGTCCGCGGACCGGATGCGTCATGATGAAACCGTGCCCACTCCATTGCCGGCAATGGGGGGAAAGTCACAATACGTCGTGACATGTCACGTGACGCGAGTTTGACACCCCTGCACTAGAGCAAATCATCTAAACTGCTCTTTATATAAAATCCTAAACCCTGAAGTTGCAATCATGTAGTATAAATGGGAAAAGAAAAAATAAAACAAAACAAAATAATATAATCCCTAACTTTCTAATAATTTCTACTTCTTCACTTGTTATGCCATGCATTGAGATACAGTTTGCTTTCACTTGCTGCACTGCATTCACATTTACTGAGCAGTAATGGTGAACTTCATTCATAAAAGACTCCACACTGCTTGGACTCAGTAATTCAAGATCAGTGCTAGCTGAATCATATTATTTTGTTGCATTAAATTGGCTGCCATGCATAAAGATACTGACCGTGATTTCACAGGTATTTCGCTTCAGCTTCAACCCCCTTCTGTCCCCTTCTTCACTGCAATTTAAATAGTCATCAGAATACTGGGAAACACATGTTTCTTTTGATATATAACACTGGAATTTTCCATATTTTAACTAGTGTTATACTAACTATTTGAGTTTTGGAAAATAATCAGGTGTTCCTGCTGAATCTATTCCAGAGAACAACATGTGTACATTGTATTCTGTTATTCCCACCCCTGCTTTTGTATAATTTAAACCACGCTTAAGAAACCGTGTTTCTTAAACTTGGCAACTTTAAGATGTGTGGGCTTCTACTCCCAGAATTTCCCAGTAGCAGAAATCCACACATTTTAAATTTGCTGAGTTTAAGGGACAATGATCAGAGTTGATCAGTGATTAGCAAATTCAAGACGCTGTGTGTGTGTGTGTGTATGTGTGTGTGTGTGCGTGCGTGCGTGTGTGTGTGTGTGTGTGTGTGTGAGAGAGAGAGAGAGAGAGAGGGGGGGGGAGGGGAGAGAGAGAGAGAGAGAAATCTTTGCTATTCATCAACCAGTCAGTATCTGCAGTATCTGTCAATATATTTTCACAAGTCAGGAAATATCTACTAATCTACTATAACATCAGTAAGAGAACTGTTCTGTTGTTACTATTGCAAGAACAGAATTAAGCTGTAAAGGTTTGTCAGTTTATATTTGTGAGTAATAATAAAAAGAATAAAATATACAAATGGGATTTTTTTGATTATTCATAAAGGATAATAATAGGGATTATTTATCACTTCCATGAAGATAAATATATGGATATACTTCTTCCCTATATATTAGTTTAAACCCCCAAGCATATTCTTATTTAAGACTTTAGTAGCTAACTATACTACAAAGCTAGTAAATCCTACAAGGCACTCTTTCAGAATCTTCTCTTTTTTTTAGTAGAGGAAGTAATGCACTTTACTTGTGTAGCCATGGCAACCATATAACAGGCCAGAGCAAAACTAGAGGTTTCCTTGCCATTGCACTATGAGATTAAAAGTAAGAGGCTAAATCTTATTAAGCAGCAGAAGCTTTTCAACAGATAAAAACATAAAGTTTATGGGTGTATATGAAAGTTGCTATCATAATATATTTGTGCCATTTTCTTTCTTTGCTTAGGTCTGCCCATTAACTGTAAAGCGCCCTAGATTGGGGAGGGAGCATATGCTTGGAAAGATACCATTGAACAATTCCTGCTCAAGTCTTCTGCTATAGGAAAAAATGATTTCACAATAGTAAACGTAAGTTGCTAACAGTACTTATTTGAAGGAGCATTAACCAAGATTGGTTTCCAGCTTGTTTTTATGAGGCTCTTTAGAGGTGATTCTAATTATATATTTCTGATCCAGTGGATTAGATGCCATTTTTCCAACCATTTGCTTCTAAAATGGTTGAACTTTCTTTACAAATTTGTCTCTCTGGACATTTGCTGAAAGAAATAAAGATCAAGTCAATCTGTCAGATCTGGGCTGTAAAGTTTTGAGTGGCTGTTGGATGGTAGCAAAAACTGAGACTTCTGTGTGTCTTTCTGTCCACGTGATGGTCATCTGTATATTTACCATCCAGATTGTTAGCCATAAATTCATTCATGAAGGGATATGTCAATATAATGTAAGGAGGAGCATTTTAACAGGAGGTGGAGGGAGGATTAAAAAGATCAGGATTGTGACATATGTGGCCACTTGGTTTTAATATGTGTTGTCTACCACAGGCATGTCAAATAGGTTGGAGCATTGATCATGCAATTACTTACCATCTTAACCCTTGTCAGATCCACATGTCTGTAAGTGAATAACCCATTTAAAATGAAATTGAAATGGCTTTGCCTATCTTAGATAATAATATGGCTCAAGATTTATCAACATATTTACTAAAATGAAATCAGTTTTCTAAATCCACAATACTATAAAAAATAACTAAGATTTTTGAAATATATTTCAGGTTGTGCTTAAACAATATGCTAATCTATGGTTCATGGAATTATGATTTACAAAAATAACTCTATTGCCTTTATTCTCACAATACACTGAAACATTAAGCAAAATGACAGGGCTTTACAATACTTAAGCTACAAACAGTTCAACTGTATTTTAGTTTAGTATGGAATAAGAATAGTCTTAACACTGATGTTTCATCTGGCCAAATGTAGTCAGATCACTTGCCATCTCTAACAAGAATGCATGCTTGAAATCACATATCTTCCCACCTCCTAGTGTAATTTTAATAATACTTACAAGTGAGCATTCACTTTAATAATTATAGTAATAATAATATACTTTATTTATTAGTCAGTTGACCATATCAAAGTATGTATATCACCCACAGTATCACCCACAGTAAAATACAATGAATTAGAATAAAATACAGTGAAATGAGATAAAATAATTAAAATATAGTATATAAAATAAAGATAAAAGAGTATAAGGTAAAATATAATGCAAAGATATATAATAAAACAAATGTTAAAATTCAAAAACTGTTTGTTTAAGTGAATTCATCACCTTTGCATGCTACCCCAATGTGTTCTATAAAGCATGTTCTCTGTTGGGCAGCCCTGACTATAAACTTAACAGTTTTAGTGACTGCATATATATTTGCACCCTAAAGGAAATAAGATATTTTTGTTGGTGTTCCAGTTTATGGTTCTGTGAAGTTGAGTCTATAAGTACTAACCCTTGCTGAGGCATATAATTGGCAATTTAATAGGACATATGCAATGTCTTCTATCTCTGTTTCTCCATAAACACATGGTCATCAATATACTGCATTTTATGGAATTGTTTGCATTTGACTATAAAATCTAACTCCTTGAATCTTAATCTAGTAAGGGCTATCCTATGATCTTGAGTCAAACCCATTGCCAAGTGTTTTTCTATTTGAGGGTCATGTTATTTTTAACAGCCATTTCAACAAACTGATGCTTGCAAGTGACTCAATATCAGTTTGGGTGTTAACATTGAAAATAGTCTGTTTGAATATTGCCTTGGCCTAATGGCCAATTGAAGATAGATATTGTCTTGAGAGGCACAATGTGAGATGATTTGGAGAATTTGATTGATCAATGTGTGTAGATTGAAATGTGCCCATTTGTTCTTCAAGGCACACTTTTGGTAGTCTGTCAGGTTCCATGAAGAGAATTCTCTATCAGTTTAATGACTTTGATTACTGTTAAGATTACCAAGGAGTAGATGCCTGCTTCAGCTGCTATAAATGTATTCCTATAACTTCCTAGATTTAATTCTTTAAAAGTGCCCTTGATTTTCTACAAGTAAGGGGGGCTTTCTTTGCTATATGTTATCATAATTTAATTTGAGTAATTTAATTAGCGACATAAGGCTAAGACTGAAAATCAGGCTTGTCAGATGCTATATTTTTTCTAACCTGCTCTATGGAATAGAGAGTTGGTCTCTGACAGAAGGCCACCTGAAGAGACTAGAAGCATTTGAAATGTAGATTTACAGGCGGCTGTTACATATAAGCTGGGTTGACAAGATCAGAAATGAGGAAGTGATAAGCCACCCGGGAAAGCCAAGAGAAATCATCAAAACAATTAAAAAACAAAAATTAGAATATTTCGGACATGTGATACGACACCCAGAAAAATATGGCATACTCCATTTAATCCTCCAGGGAAAGATTGAAGGCAAATGAGGTCCAGGCAGAAGAAGAACATCGTGGCTTCAAAATCTAAGGGACTGGTTTGGACAAAACTCAGCAGCACTTTTTCATGCGGCTGCTGATAAAAACAGGATCGCCAACATGATCGCTAACGTCCAATAATGGATATGGCACAAGAAGAAGAAGAATTTAATTAGCATTTTAGAGATTGTTGTTTCCTTTGCAGAACTTTATTTGAAGTGCTTGGCCCACAAAACATGCATAGAATAGAGAAATCCTGGAATATCTTTGACATAAAGATTAAACAATATCAGGGCCAAAGAACAATATTAATAATTGTTGATGGCAATCATGGAAAATGAAAGGAATAGTGGATGGTAAAAAACTTCACTTGATAAAATCTAATTAGCTTTAATCATGATTAAGGCTTGTCCAGAAACTGAGAGAAAAATATAATTTTGTATTTAAAAATGGTGGACTGATGAAGGAGTTTCAGTGAATTGCTCCACGGGTCTTATACATAGAGTTCAATAGCATTATGTCTTTACACTTTTGAAAGCTACATGGTTTGCTGGGAGTTGAACATTTTATCCATATATGGAAGATCTTATCAATAAAATATCTATGGTGGATTCCTTAGGTATTAATCACTGAAGTATCATAATTTGGCTCTCTTTCACTATTAGATCAACTTGTATCCTTTATATTTATTAACATTTACTCAAAACTGCCATTCAAAAATTTGTGGGAAAAATAAATAAATGGATGAAAAATTCCTGAATAATAAACTCTTCCTTAATGGTGATGGTAGAATCATTACTGAAAAAAACTCTTTGGAAAAAGTTCACATGATACCTTCTTTTAGAATTTAACTTGAGGTGAGAGAAGCAGACTGCAGACTGTTGGAGAGCTGATTGTTCAATTGAATCCCATCCCTTGTCTATCTTGTTAACTAAATGAATGCAAGAACTTTTCTGGAATTCTTTTACATTTTGAAAGAATTTCTAAAGCAGCGGTTCTCAACCTGTTGGTCGCGACCCCTTTGGGGGTCGAACGACCCTTTCACAGGGGTCACCTAAGACCATCGGAAAACACATATTTCCAATGTTCTTAGGAACTGAGACACCACTCCGCATCTGTCTCCGCATGGCCTCCGCCATTTGCAGAGAGAGAGACAGAGAGGCACTTTCGCTTCCCTTCTCTCTCTCTCTCAGGCAGACTTACCTCCTACAGGGCTCCTGATTGGCCCTGCGTTCAGGTGCCCCACCCCCTGGGAGAAGCACGGCCAGGGCCTCGTGGCCTTGGAGCCGCCCAGGGAAGCCCCAGGATCCCTGCTGGGAGCGGCCTGCTGGAGCTCCGCTGAGCAGGCCAGCCCTCTCACAATCCCCAGCCAGCCCGACCATTGGCCCCATTGGCCGGAAAGGTGCACCGGAGTCCAGGCTGCAGGGAAGGAAGAAGGAGATGCAGCAATGGAGGAGAGCCTCCTCCTGGGGCCTGGCGCTGGCGGCGGCTTCCTTGCCCTCCTCTTCCTCCTCCCCTTCTTCCTCCTGATGCCCCCCAGGTGGCTCAGACGGACGCCGGGACAAGAGGGGTGCCTGGGGGGAGCAGCCGGGCTGGTGGAGGGGCTGGCAGGGGCCATGTGGCACCAGCCCCCACCGCGGCTCCATCGATGGATGGAGGGAGAGGCCAGGCAGCGTGGAGTCCCGGCTGGGGCAGCTGCTTCCTCGCCCTCCTCTCCTTCTTCCTCCTGCTGCCCCCCAAGCAGCTCAGGGGGGCGCTGTCCCCACCGCGGCTCCATCGATGGGTGGAGGGCGAGGCCGGGCAGCACGGAGTCCCAGTGGGGGCGGTGGCCAGGGGTAGCGAGGACCCCTATGATGCAGCTGTGCCGCCGCCACCGGAGTCACTGTCTCCCGTCCTGCTTCTCCTCCCCACCCGATCAGCTGAGGACACAGCGGAGGCCGGGCTGGGGGCGGCGGGGACCCCCGACAATGCTGCCATAAGAGAGAGAGGAAAGAGAGAGAAAGAGAAAGAGAAGAAAGAGAGAGAGGAAAGAGAAAGAGAGGAAAGAGAGAAAGAGAGAGAAAAGAGAGAAAGAGAAAAAGAGGAAAGAGGGAAAGAGGAAAAAGGGAGAGAGGAAAGAGAGAAAGAGAGAGAGAGGAAAGAGAGAAAGAGAGAGAGAGGAAAGAGAGAGAAACGGGAAAAGAGAGAGGAAAGAGAAAGAGAAAGAGGGAGGAAAGAGAGAGAAAGAGAAAGAGGAAAGAGAGAGAGAGAAAAGAGAAAGGGAGAGGAATGGCACTTCTCCAATAAGGTTGGGCGGAGCCTTCCTGCCCCCCCCTCCCCGGCCAGCTGGATGGGGGGTTGGGGGTCACCACAACATGAGGAACTGTATTAAAGGGTCGCGGCATTAGAAAGGTTGAGAACCACTGTTCTAAAGCATTTTTTTCTCAGTACCTTAAATGTAAACCAGTTGGGGCAATTGCTACAGAATTTCTACATATAGCATAAATGCTTACAGAAATTTTACTGGGAGTAGCAGATACAGTGATGCCTATAATTACAGTAAAATATGCCTTTTCCCATTATGCTGATGTCACATTTGGTTGGACTCGATGACCTCCAAGGT